GAGGGGGGAATCCCTGCAGGGAGCTGTAAGTGACAGTCACGGCTCTCTGCGGGGACAGGATCGAGAGGTGAGCGAACGCAGGTATGTGTTCCCGATCTACTGAGCCGACCTGTGACAGTCTCATTGTGACGCGTCGCCCCGAACTATGACGAGGAGTGATTATCACTCGCCTCGTAGTTCTCCTTTAAGTGGCACTTTTTTTGTATCAATCCGCACCTTGTTACTTTTATTTTGTTGTCTTTTTGTGAGAAGCAAATTTTGTCCCAATTCATAAGGAGCTGGAGTGTTCTGTCCTCTGCGAGGTCCGGGAGGAAATGCTGGGTGAGGACCCTCTGTTTAAAATTGTTGTTCTACATTTAGCCCGGCTTGTGCAAAGGAGGGCTAAATGTAGAAAATAAATTACCGCGCCCGGGAACTCCATGTTCCGGGGCGTCGGGTGACTTCAAACGTGTGCCGCCCCTCTCCTCAGTGCCGCCCCGGGGCCGGGCCTCGGTGGCCTTGCCGGGAATCCGGCCCTGCTGCTCACATGAGGGTGCGAGGTGCCAGTAAAATATAATGAATAGGTTATGGCTGAATGTGTCATTGTCAGATACCTGCGAATCCCATACATGTGCACATTGCCCCATCGCCCCAGACTGAAATCCCCCGATTGATTGGCACTGGTAGGCTCCTCCCCCTTAATCGTTGTTCTAACAAAGTGTCTCTGCGTTCTGTATTGCCAGGCTGGTAACATCGCCAATATCAGCAGCACTGTGGTCAACCTGGTCCTCATCCTGCTAATGAGTCAAGTCTACACTTCGCTGGCCGAGAAACTAACCCGATGGGGTGAGTGGTGCATGGCGAGAACACGATGGGGTGAGGTAGTGCATGGCGAGAACACGATGGGGTGAGTAGGGCATGGCGAGAACACGATGGGGTGAGTAGTGCATGGCGAGAACACGATGGGGTGAGTAGTGCATGGCGAGAACACGATGGGGTGAGGTAGTGCATGGCAAGAACACGATGGGGTGAGTGATGCATGGCGAGAACACGATGGGGTGAGGTAGTGCATGGCGAGAACACGATGGGGTGAGTAGTGCATGGCGAGAGCACGATGGGGTGAGTAGTGCATGGCGAGAACACGATGGGGGGAGGTAGGGCAGGGGAGGAACAGGTTGGGGTGAGTAGTGCATGGGGAGAACACGATGGGGTGAGTGGTGCATGGTGAGAACACGATGGGGTGAGTGGTGCATGGGGAGAACACGATGGGGTGAGTGGTGCATGGTGAGAACACGATGGGGTGAGTGGTGCATGGCGAGAACACGATGGGGTGAGTAGTGCACGTTGTACATGTGATGGGGAGACATACAGAAGTGGGTACCGGGCTTTCTGTTGAAGCTTCACCGGTTCGGTGGTCTTGGTCTGAGTTTAGTTCCCGCCGGGGCTCTTATCTGCTTGGAGTTTGTATAGTCTTTCGGTGGTTTCCTCCAGTTGCTCCGTTTTATGTCCACAAGCCAAAAAACACATCGTTAGGTCACCTGACTTCTCAAGCTGAGGGGGTCTAGGCAGGGGCGTAACTAGAAATCACAGGGCCCCATAGCAAAATTTAGTATGGGGCCCCCCGTGATTGCTAGTTATGCCATTGCTCTTAGGCGGGGCCCCGCCTCCTCCTTCACTGCAGACGCCTCTTCTGCCGCATCTGCTGGCTGGAACGTTCCCCCCTCTGCGTCGGTGACAGCCAGCACCCCGAGATTCCACAGCGACCCAGGCCGGGCCCCCCTGTGCCCGGGCCCCATAGCGGCCGGGCTGCGTCGCTATGGCGATTGTTACGCCGCTGGGTCTCAGGCTGTGGTAGGGACACGGGACTATGGGCTCTATTGGGGGTCAGGTTAATGTGATCGTTTTCGGGAACCACTCGTCACTGAAGATCTCAGACGGCCGCCATTCCCGGTACAGAGTCTGCGCCTCCGCCTTGTGCCCCCTTCCTCCTGAAGTATCTCCCCATTGAGGTCATTATAACATCTGAGTGGCAGGTGGGTTCTGTTCAACCACGGCAAGAGCAGACACTGGAACTTCGGGTCAGCTTCGGCGTACACGCGGAGTCCCCGGAACAGAGTCCAGCAGAACGGCCATTGTTTCCTTCATAAGATGACGTGACTTTGGAGTCATCTTTGGGTTTAAAGGGGCAGCGCAGCATCGCACATCGCGGGTGAAGAGCCGGAGGATTCTTTACTTTGCCGTCGGCTAAATTAAATGTGGGAGCCAAAACAACGTGACACACGCGTGTGACATGTAACACCCAGATGTGGACAGCGGAGCGACTCTTAGGTACACAGTGCTGTGTCTGGGAATAGCAGGGGGGTGTGTATATAATAATCCGGCCGCTCGGTGTATATAATAATCCGGCCACTCGGTGTATATAATAATCCGGCCGCTCGGTGTATATAATAATCCGGCCACTCGGTGTATATAATAATCCGTAGTTGTCATACTGTAGTCAGCCTGTAGGAGGCGGCGCTGAGCTGGGTGTCAGTCATCACTGGCGGGGTGTTAGGAGGACATCTCCACTTGTCATGTTGTCTGCTCTCCCCGGATTTCACATCCTCCGTAGCCCAGCCACAGACAAGATACTGTCTGAGAGAAGACGCCTATACGCAGGGCAGCGACAACCCTGGGGACATAATAATGAGGATAAAGACTCTGTGTGTGTAGTTGAGGCGCCTGTGTCTGGTGGATATCGATTGGCATGCTGTGTCTGTGGGGTCGCCACCTTTTCTTCAAGCAAAACCCGAACCTTCAAGCAAGGCGCGGACATTTTTGGGGGAGAATGAGCGGTGGCGTAGTCATATGTAAATATCACAGTTGAGACTGTTTTCAGTGGGGGGGGGGGGGTTCAGTAGCCCCTATCCTAATTTTAGTTGCCCCCTGTCTGCTGCCATGAAACCCGGACACAGCATTCAAAACCAGGACTGTCCGGGTGAATCCTGGACAGTTGGCAACCCGAGCTGGGAGCTGGAATGTGACGTCACTCCGGTCCAGGCACCTCTACAGGACATGCGAGGGAGCTGTGAGCAATGCGTGTATGGGTGGAGCTCCCTCGCGGCCACAGCCCCCATCCCGCCTCAAGCTGACACTCGGCGCCGGGCGGCATATTTTGAATGGCTGCTCGACGTGAGAACTGACAGCGCTGCGCCAGGGGGAGGCAGAGGAGCCTCTCGCCTACAAAAGTGGAAGGCACGCGACGACCCGCCGAACAAGGGGTCGCGACCCACCAGTTGAGAACCGAGGCTCTACAGCACCCAGAACATTATATCTAAAAAAAATATCTTATGTTGTCCTCCGTGTCTCGTTGTATCTGATGGAGAGGTGCTCTTCCTATGAATTAGCATGCTGTGGGGACGGCAAAGGGGTTTGCACAGCCCCCAATACATGTAGATTAGAGATGACCTCGGGGGCGCCTCTACGTCTGATGGGTGCTCCGGTGTAGTCTTCATCTTCAGCCAATTCATTAGCATTATGTGGCTCTGGTTATTGTAGAGGGGGAAAAGAGGGATTGAGGGGGCAGTAAAGGTGTCCCTACAATGCCCAATACAGTGTCACGATCTGGGATCAGGCTCGGAGTCCCGCAGCTGAAGCGGCAGGCACATTGGTGGTATAACAGGCCGGGTTCGGTACACAAGCCGGCGGTAGTAGTGGAGGAGCAGGCAGAAGTAGGGTTGCCACCTGTCCAGAATTGACCCGGACAGTCCGGGTTTTCAATGCTGTGTTCAGGTTTCATGGCAGCTGAAACCCGGACACAAGATGTCAGGCAGACGGGGGGCAACCAAAATGAAGCTAGGGGCTACTGGCCCCCCACTGAAAATAGTCTCAACTGTGATATTTACATATGAATGGGTGGCACTAATTACATATGAATAAGCCAAGAAAAAATGTCAGTGCGTCGCTAGAGTGTGATCGGGTTTTCGCTTGAAGAAAAGGTGGCAAGCCTACCACCAGCGCGATCAGCGGTGGTGTGCGATTCCGTGACCGCGCAGTCACAGATCGCCCAAGTGTGAACCTGGCCTCACTGTACTCCATCATTTCCTGATATGCTTGTTCCAGGTAAAAGTGACTCCAACATTATTTTT